AGGCAGGGTTAGAAGAATCTCTGTGAGGTTAAGGCCAGTCTGGTCTATGAAGTAAGCTCCAGACTAGCCAAATATGATATAGTGAGACACTGCCTCAAACACATACATACATATATGTGTATGTATATATATTAAATGATGTTAGTAATGGTACTATTTATTTCTAGTTTGTAGGTTTTCTTGGGATATTAAGTTATATCATTTATAACTTTTCTAATTGTAGCAGGAAGTAACGTAAGTAATATTTTTACATTGATACTGTGCTTAGAAGATATGTAAAATTGATTTCAAAGTTCTATTTGTAAATCCTGGTATCTACGGATATTGCCGCCCCTTTGGCTGTTATTCCTTAGAAAAAGAATCTTGAACTTAATCGAATGATTAGAATTTACCTACCATGGTGACCTTTGACTTTTTCCCATTTAAAGTATTATTTTTCCTTTATTTGGCTTAACAATATAGCACTTGTGATGTCCATCTTGGTGGTAACAAAATAGAATAGCTATATTCTGAACAATTTAATATCACAATCTGACAAGTTACATTGAGATGAATGAGTAGAAAAGTTTCTCCCTTCTGGTTTATTGGAACATTTTAATTAGTATAATATTTTTTCCAATCTTTCCTGGTGTTCACTTTGAGAATAATTCTATGGCAAATTTTCTTTTGTATCTGTTATAGATTTATTAAATGAAGGCATATTGAGCATTTTGTGTCAGATTTTATGAGTTGAGAAAACATTTCTAATGATGTATGCATTAATTCTACATTTCCAAAGCCTTCTATAGGATTATTTCTTATGTACTTAGTGGCTTTCCATACATATAGAGGCTATAGCTATTTATACTTTGCAATTCTTTTTAAAAATATTTTATTCAATTTTGTCTCATGTGTATAAATGTTGCCTGCAAGTAAGTGCAACATACATGTGCAGTGCCCTCAGAAGTCAGAAGAAGGCATTGAATAACCAGAAACTGGGGTTAAAGATTATTGCAAGCCACCATGTGGGTACTGAAAACCTCACCTGGGTCCTCTGCAAGAGCAGCCATTACTCTTAACCACTGAAACATCTCTCAGTTCCCACCCTTTGTTATTCTTAATATTGTAAGTTTACTGTTTTGCTGCCAGAAGCTTCTTTCCCTATGTACTCTCTAACACTTTTGGTGGTGTAGCCTACTGACATTTCATTTATTGACACTCGTGAATAATTTATTGTTCTTACTGTTTCACTTGATTAAAATTGTACTTTTTGTAGTGTAAAATTTTTTCTTCTTTACACTGTAATATTTTACTTGATTTCTATAATATGCATTTAAAATAAAATTTGCATTAATCATGTAAGAATTTCTAAATATTTCATATTGTCTATTTACATTGTCATCCTAATTACTTTTATTATTTATATTTATTACACTTTTTGTTTGATTTTATTGAATTTTTGTGCATTTCATAGAGGACATTCTAATCACTGAATTTCATGCATTTTGTCATTTATCTTAAGGTATATTGAGTCACATTAGTGTCCTTAGACATCCTTCAGTGCAAGTTCATCCACTGGGATCTAGCCAGACTATATAGAGGTTACTACCTTAAAGAAGATCAGCTCTTATTCACCCGGCATAATTAACTACACCAACTAGTTTTTCAGCTAAGGTTGGGGCCTGCTGTCTATTTCCACAGTTCTATGCTGGAATTTTATCTACTTGAGTTTGCATGGGTCTTGTGTGAGCGGTCACCATTGCTATAGGTTCATATGAGCAAGGTCCTAAGAGCCTGGAAAACTCTATTTCCATATGGTCATGCCCCTCCTCCCTGGGCTCTTACAATATTTTTATTCTGTGTGAATAAGTGTTTTGCCTGCATGAGTCTAAGAGCACCATATGCATGCAATACCCGAAGAGGCCATCAGACTCTCTGGTACTGGTGTTAAGGGTCCTTGTTGGCTTCCATTTAGATGTTGGGAATTGAACCTGGGTTCTCTGCAAGAGCAGTCAGTGCTCTTAGTTTCAGAGCCATCACTCAAGCAAAATTCTATTTTATTTGTAAAAGAATCAGAACATTTAGTAACATATTTTAATGGGTTATTTCTTGGAAATAATTCTGAATTTCAATATACATTTTACATGTAATAAATAAAAATATGGGACCTATAATATGATACTTAAATGCTGTGGTACACCTAATAGTATATCTTTGGTTAAAAAAATTGTGAAGAGTTGAAAGGATGTATTAATACAATGCGAAGGTGGTATATTTTCCAGTACATGAAGTTTGGCAAATGTTATGTTTAATTTTTTTTTTTTTGGTCTTTTTGAGACAAGATCTCCCTGTAGCTGCAGCTGGCCTGGATTCGCTAATGGAGATCAGGCTGGCCTCGAACTCACAGAGATCCGCTTGCCTCTGCTTCCCGCATGCTGGGATTAAAGGCTTGTGCCACCACGCCTGGCTATTATGCTTAATTTTAAATGTAATTGCTAAAACTGTATGCAAATATTCTCTGAATTACTGAGATGTGTCTAAAGATTTTCAATTCATTAACAGATCCCTCCAAATCTGTTTATTTTTATATAAAATATTTCTTCCATCATTTAAAACAATGTATATATAAATATAAAACTGTATTTCTCGTTGGTGAACAGACTTCAAGTAATGTAATGAAATTTGCCTCTGTACATTAGATGGTATTTTCTTTTATAAATTTTATACTTGTGTAATCACATTTATATATGTAAATGTGTGTATTTATATATGTAGTATTTATAATTTTCCATATATACCTCTTAAAAGCTGTATGTAAATATGTATCAGAAATCAGCTTATCAACTTATTAAGGAAAGCCTATTTAATAACTTAATTTCATGTATATCAGTATTTACTTATTTTTCTAAGTAACAACACTATACACATACTAAGGCCCAGAGGACATTTTTACTTTGCTTATTCCGTCTTTAATCATTTAGATGTATTGATGAATGTATTGATTCCCTTTTTATTTAATTCACTATAGCTATTTTTCATTTTGTTTTTAAAGATTTTCTGCTTCTTTTTCTTACATTAAAAATTTTTGCATTTTATGTCTTTTCCATGAATTTAGTTTTGAAGAACTTTTTAATGGATATAAAATATATGGTTGCCATCTACTGTCTTGTAGAGTTTGAAAATCACTTTTTCAATTTGGGTTCATCTTTTTCCATGAAGAATCAATTTTTAATATTATTCTTCCAGTGAATATTTTATTCATATATTCATAATTTTAGTTAAAACATGCATGTGTCTTTAATAATTAGCCATAAGCAGTTGTACAATACATAAATAATACATAAACATTTCATGTACTCTTCTCTGTCATAGATGTGAGTTTTTGCACAATACTGTTACTGCTTAGCATTTGAGATTGATAGACATGGTACTCAATATTCCTATGACCTAGAAGGTGCTATGTCATGTCAAATTTGAGCAACATTCAGTTCTCACTCATCCATCCCTGTGGCCTTAGTCCTTCAACCTGAAGCAAATACTAATATGGTCTCTGTTCTGAAAATCATTCAATTTAGAAATAAATATATGTATGTTTTGACCCGACAGTGTTAAAAATACATAAGCAAATTTATATTAATAACCGACTACAGATTGTACCTCATATCTATAAATAAAAAGTAATGAAATTTTCATTATAAACCTCAAAATATTTTAAAGTAACTTTGAATGATATAATCATTCTGATGTATTCAACATAGCACCAAAACTTTACGAATGCAGATAGACTTTGATACTTTTACATGACATGACTTGATTTACCTGTACACAACAGTCTTTAAAGCAATTTCCAGGAATGCTTACAATCTCTAATCAGTGTATCATGTTCCCACCAAGTAAGCTAGCCAGTTACTGATATCCCATTCAGCTGGTAGATCAATATGAGACCATAATGCAGATATACACAATAGACAATAACAGTTTAAATGGTTGATGAAGTAATTGAATTTATGGGAAATCCTTATGATAGGAAACTAGGGGTGTCTTCTCAGAATTGTGGGGAGCATTGAGTAGCTAAGAAATCTCCTGTAACTCTGCAGTCAGACTGTAGAGCCCGAGCCTTGGCTGAGAACACAGCCATGATTATGGTTTTGTTAGACCCACAGAAGATAGAGCTAAGTCATAAATTGTGTTTGACCCATGGCAACCAAGAAAAAATTAAAAAAATATATAAAACTCTCTCTCTCTGTCTGTCTGTCTGTCCGTCCGTCCATCCATCCATCTATCAATCATCTATCTATCTATCTATCTCTATCTATCTGTCATCTATCTATCATCTATCTATCTATCTATCTATCTATCTATCTATCTATCTATCTATACTATTTATCTATCATCCATCTATCTATCTATCTGTCTGTCTGTCTGTCTGTCTGTCTGTCTATCATTTGTTTGTTTTATCTGTGGGTTTTGCACATTTTTGTATCAAGAATAAGATGAATGCACACTCTCTGGTCATCTTCCACTTGCTCTGTGAGCCTCAGCCACCACTCCAGCTTTCTTTTAGGTGGCTGTGCTTCTTCCGCTGAATGACAGCCTCCTGTCTTATATCTTTGATTTATTTACTCCCTTCATCCCATAATGAATACATGACTCAGAGCTCCCAAAGCATGTGATTCAGACTGTCCTCCCCCATAGGGTCTCTTAGCTTCACCACGAAAAGACAATGCAATGTTGGCTCCTCACTGAATGTAGGCTGCGACTAAATCATTCAATATAATTTTACTGGAATGATCAATGGATCAAACATAAATAAGTTCTTTGTTCTGAATTACATTGTAACACGGAAAATTCATTTTCTATGATTCTCAGGAAGAATTTATTTGTATTAAAGACCTTATAAAATTATCTTCACTGAGTATAAAAGTTACACTGAGGGATTTGGGGGATAATACCGAAAATAATACAAGGAAAGCTCCTTATTTTCTTCTACTCAGAATGAAGGAAAGAAACAATTAACTTACCTGGCCAGGCTTTGAATTTTCACAGACAACAATATCATATTCCCTGGCAAGTTCTGGTGGATTGTCATTGACATCCAGAACTCTAATTCCCACGGTGACATGGCTCAGCAAACCAGGATTGTCTGCAAAACACATGGGGATGTATTTAGTATTTCAACACACACTTTAGATGCTTGGCTTAAAACAAATCTCCTTAATTCTGTGGCTTGTCACCAGCTCCCTATGCTGTAGCAGAACTTTTGGCAAAAGACAAATTTCTGAAGGCACTCTCTGCTAGAACTCATTAACTTACAGGAAAATGAAAAATGCAACCAAGGCTTGACATAAATACTAAAATGATACATTTTTTTATATCAAGGAAATTACATGTTGTTCAGGAACTGGAGTGGGAGAAAGTTGTCAGAACTCATTGTGTGCTGTCAGAGCCTAAAGAATGAACAATTGGTTTCATCAATACCCTAAGAAAAGCACAGCAGTAACTAAAAAAATCAGCCCAATTTTAAAAAAAGTTCATGGTCTAAATTCTAAATAAACTCAGAGAACTAACAAGCAAAGGTTTTTATTTTTAACGCAAATGCCCATTTACTTATAGGGGACTCTGCTTCATTTACAGCGAGTCACGTTTGGGAAAGAATAATGATTTCAATCAAAATGTATTTTGGGATTTACATATAATTAATAAATTTTAAAACATTGCATTCAGTATTTTAAAACATGTCTTAAATTTAGTCTTCACAATGGTCATCAAGTTTACTATTTCTAAGATATGGACAAAGGCAAATGTTGTTTGCTTGTTTCATATGTAAAAAAAAAAAAAAAGATTCAGAATTCCTAATAGGAAAATTCAGCTGCACTATTGGTTTGTGGAATCAAAAGGAAGCCCAAATCTGGCAATCACTATCCCAAAGGGATAGCACCAATTGGACACAAATGGAATGCATAAATGATCCCTGCCCCTTCAGTATGCAGAAAGTTGGGCACACCCATCCTTCATAAAAAAGAAAAAAACTACCCTCCTTTCCTTTGCAAATTACTTTTTCTTGTTCTCAATTCAAAATTTGATAGTAAGCTCACATACACCTTTGTTGAACATGACTGGACACTGATTCATTGGATCTTCTAAATAAGATATCATTTTTGTCGTTGGTAACTACTATCCATTTTGTTATATTTGTAATAAAACTTTAATAACAATCTAAATTAATTTCTTAGTAAGTCATCCTCCTTGATCTATCTCTATTATTCTCTATTTGCTGTTATGTCCAATATAAGGTGTATAACAAAAAACATTAAAATTGATTAATAACAATACATAAAATTTAGAGGAATTTGTTAATACATAGCCTGAAAAGGTAAAACATGTACATGTTAGACAAAAGACACTTTTACATGGTTATTAAGAAGATATTAGACTTCATACCCAAAATCTAAAACTTCCAGCAGTTGTCCCCAACTTTTTTCTTTTGTCCCAACTTAACTTTTATCTTTTCAACATGATGTTACCATCTACACAGTTTACACTGGAGACGTGCACAATCAAGTTGCAAAAGATAATTGCCAAAAAATCAATTTGGCTTTGAGTAAGTTTACAGTTTTGTGTTGTATTGCATTGATAGCTATCCACAGCCATATGCAGTCCACAGGACACAGGGTGAGGAGGAGGAGACACCCCTGCAGGAATATGGAGTAGTCTATACAGAACTATGTTGTAAATGAAATACATTCTAGGGAAAATTTCTCAGAGAGAAACATACTTGGCCATTTTTACCTAAATTAAAATAAAATACTTGGATTCATTTATTTATTCATTTACAGATTTACTCTATAAAATTATAGCCCATAAAATGTTTTTGTTTTCTGTAATTTACAAAACTCTGTTACTAATACAAGACAGCCTCCTAATGACAGATATTAGGTCTCAGCAAATTAAATAAACTCTCGGCTGAACTACTCCACTGACCTAATGGACAGAAATCTACCATGGTGAACATAGGTAGAAGAAAGAAAGAAAGGACAGAGAAATAATGGATAAGGAGAGAGACCTTTTTAAATAAATAGAAATTATCCAGAAAGCAAATGAATTAAAGAATACACATATCTACTCAAACACAGAAAAATGAAATAAAATAAAATACTTGTATATTCTAAAGATATTCAAAAGAAACAAACGTTCAACACAAAGTATTCATACTGGTGAACACTAATGAGATTAGTTAACTGAAGATAAAGAAACATAAGAATAAATAAAATAATTTATTCATAAGATCTATATGCAGAATACTTTATTGAACTTCATTAATGAAGAGCTAACAAAATTAAGAGCTCTGTTATGTTTGTGGTTAAGAAGAAAAAATAACAGAAGACTCCTCTCTCCTGATGAATATGCATATTCTATATAATCAAATATAAATTCACTGAAAGCTTCTCATAAAACTGAAAGTTGATTCTAAGAGCCATAAAATTTTAGGTCAGACGTGCAGGGACAAAGTTTGATGACATGAAAATACAATACCTCAGTTCTTTCAAATTTGTGATAGAATAATTTAACAAAGTGACCCTATGTGGAAAGATATTTGCAGCATATAAAAGACACAACAAATTTGTTTCTAGAATAAATAATGAAATATTTTACAGGTAGAAGAGCAACAAACTTCCACAATAAAAAAAACAAAGAAATAGTAATAGCACATGAAAAAAAATCCAATATCATTTGCTTTTGAAGAAATGCGAATTAGTCAAAGTACATGACTTTATACACAAACGTGATTGACATGATATACTGTCGAAAAATGTATACTAACATGATATTGGCCTCATGTAAGTTTTACAGTTGTATATTTTTGTGATAAACATTCATCACTCTCTTTGGATCTATATGCACTAAGATTCTTTCATAAATATATCACCAGGATAATTAATAAAAACAACAACAACAACAACAACAACAACAACTGGAAAATGTAGGGATATCAAACAACACATGAGTGGAAACAGTATTTACAGACTATCAAAGAGAAAGCAAATAAATAACAACATATCCACTTTGTGAAAATAGAAATAAAAATAGAAATAAAAGATGAACTTACATTCTCTGAAATGTGTCAGAAAGTTTATATCCAAATATAAAATATGGTAAAACTAAAAGGCACACAAAATACAAAATAAAGTAACAATAAACAATATAAAGCCTAATAAACATTGTTTAAAATAAAGTTCTTATTAGTAATGCCGATTCTTTTTATATTCCATTATGTAAATTACATAGACTGTGTGTGTGTGTGTGTGTGTGTGTGTGTGTGTGTGTGTGTGTGTGTGTGTATGTCTCCACTCATTTGGCACAATGTACATGTGGAGTTCATCGCTCAATATTTGGGAATTAGTCCTTTCTTTCTACCTTTTGGGACCTAGGATTGAACTCAGATCATCAAGTTTGTCTAAGCAAGCCCATTTATGGGTTGGACCATCTCGCAGGCTCTGTTAGCACTGTCTTAAAATAATAAATGTGTTTAAACCCATTTATCCATAAGTTTTAAAATATCTTCTTTGTAGGATTTGGAAATCACATTTAATTTATTGGGAAAATTATAAAATATTTTGAAAGTAATATAGTTAATAATTTCATAAAATTCATTCATATAATTATCATGAATTATTATTTTATTCTCTGTGAGATAGTGAAAGATAACATGATACCTTCAGATTGTACCAGTTATGCTTACATAACATAATAAATATATCATTATATCTAAATGGTTTAAATATTGATTTAATTATGTGTATATGTGTTTTATTGCAGACAGAGTCTTGTCCTCAAGTCAAGGCTGGACTAAAACTTGTCAGGTGAGCTGTTTGGTTTTGCACTCAGTGCTCCTCCAGTTTACCTTAGCAAAACAAGAGTTATAATCATTAATTAGTAACCAATTACTTGTATTATTATTGCCTCATATTAGTAAATGTTTTTCATATGTTTCTATAGCTCACATTTTAAGAGCAGATTAAGCAATTTGAAAATACAGTAGACATAGTCATCAAACATCATTTTTCAGTGCCTACGTGACTTGTTATACTTTGCTTGATAACTGGAATGTCATTAAATCTATTCCACTTGATCCCAAAAGAGTAAATCATTCACGGTAGAGAACAGACTCTTTCCCTTTGAGGTATTATGTTTGATAATGCCAATGAAGCATAGCTAGTGTGTAGCATAATGATTGCAATGGCATCACTTAGAGTCAGACAAGTACAATGGACCTACTACAAGTATGCATTCTTTAGTAAAATGAACTTCACCTAAGCTTGGTACAGAAGTGACTCATCACATGGCCTACATGTTCTGTCAGAAAACTATGTAAGACCCTGATTAAGAGTTGTGATAAAATACCCTGTATTCTACTAAAGAAATTCCTCCTCATCCATGATCTTACTGCCCTTTTCATAATAGTCAGGGAATGGAAACAACCTAGATGTTCATCAACTGATGAATGCATAATGAAAGTATGGTACATTTGTACAATGGAATAATCTTCAGCTATGAACGTTAAGAAACAAAATTGTGAAATTCAGAAGTAAATAGATGGAACTGCAAAACTGGAAGTAATCATTCCAAGCGAGGTAATCCAGACACATAAATAAAAATGTTGCATGTTCTCTCTTAGAGTTGAATGCTAGCATTAAATTCTGAGATATGCATGCTTCAATTAGAAAATGCAGAGAGGTCAGGAAAATAAAACCCTGCCACGAGATACTGAGAGATTCCATGAGGAGACAGAATTCAGTGACATAAAGGGGGGCATGGGAATGATGTAGTAGGAAGGGTTAAATGGGGTTAGGAATGGGAGGGAAGAGATAACTAACACTAAAAGTCTTTAGAACAAGCCATATGGAAACCTACCACTCTAGAAGCTACCTAAGATATGTGCATATACAATATAAACATATTACAATGAATGACCTTAAAATGGGGTGGGCATTGTCTCTTTTTGACAACACAAACTCTCAAAATAAAAGCCCAATGTCAAAAATTAATTCCCGCCTTTGAAACTGTTAACTGAGCATCCCATAGACTCTCAAAGATAGTAGCCATTGTCCCTGCTCTCGGTTACCCACCAGAATTTTATGGTAA